ATGTTGCTCAAAAACCAAATTATATTGTATTCAGCGGAAAGGTTTTTAAAAAAAATTTTTTAACCCAGTCATTTAAAAACAACACATTTTAGAACAATACCGTGAAACCGTGATATTTTTGCTTAAGGTTATCATACCATCAAAATATCATACCGGCCCATGTCTAGTCCCAAATAAGCGCAAATATGGCCACGCCCTATTGGGACAATGGCTGCTTCATTTTTCTTCAATGGAAGTGAATGAAGGTGTGTCGTCCATCTTTTTTTACAGTCTATGGTCGCACCTCGCTGCAATAGCTAAAGTCTGTCTACGCTGGACTAGGGCTGGACAATAATTCAATATGTATCACGATACAATTTTTTTCAATAATGGTGATACGATTTTTAAACATTTCCGATATTTCGATATACATTACCAGTGTTTCCCATACATTGTAGCAGAGCTGCTGCAAGTGATTTTCAGTGCTGGAAATCCATTTATCCTTTGAAACTTCCGCATCGTTGTGGAGAGCGCAGGTCACGGTTGCTTAGCAACGGCAGACGCCACGAAAGCGCAAGCTCTCGAGCGCTTTGGAAAGGAACGGCGTGTCTGGCGTTTTCCACGCGTTTTTAGGCGCGACATGTGAACGGCCCCAAAGTCTGTCTACACCGGACGCAATAAAGCGACCGTTGCATATCATTTGAAATTTGTGTCAGTACGTCATAAAGAGAACGAGGCAACTGTCTGGGATTTGTCATACCGTGCCGCATACTGTAGACTCGGTGAGAGCCACGCAGATGCACGTGAACACTGAATTCTGTTCACTTCTGCGTCTATTTGTGCCTGAAATACTGTGCTCTGCAAGTATCCTTGTAAACGCAGTTGCTTATGGCTTAGGTGAAGGTGAACAATTGAGAAAGAAAATGGATGTGTAACAGTATATTGGTTCACAGCAGTTTAATGTTCCTGTTGCTTTCTCTGTCATGAACGTTAATCAACAAAACACAAAGAAAAATCACTTTTGTAGCTTTAACACCGATTTGTTGGATTTAATTTATAGTGAAAACTATGCAGTGTTATTTTACATGTGATTATATTTTTCAGGTAAGTCTTAACAGTATTCAGGTACAGAAATTGAATAAAGCACTGCTTATTTAATTTGTATGTTTCTGTTATTTATCTATGCTTGTAATTAGTTTATTTCCTATGCTGATTTACTCGCCTACAAAATCACCCCAGTCATTGTTTTTTTTTTTCTCCAAATAGAGCTATTGAAGTCATCTGATTTTTTTTTTTCCATATCGCAATATATATTGCAGAAAAAATATATATCACAATGTGAGTTTTTTCCCAATATCGTGCAGCCCTATTATACACTAAAATTCCATTATGACTGAATTTCTTGATTCTGCCCCGAAAATCTTATGGCCTTATGTACCTGGCTGTTGTCATATTGCGAAGAAGATTGTTTTATTTCATGTTGCAAAAAACCTGATGTATCATCCTAGGTGCTCACTGTGTTTGAATATTCAAATGTTCCCATGCTGCCCAAAAAGGGATGCAGATCTGCTGGTTTTGAAACAGTTGTTGGTTAGTTTGAGGAAGCCCTCTCTTAATCAAGAGTTTCTTTTGTTTCTTGTTTTCAGTATCTCTGCCCACTCAGGTCCATCGCCACTTCACTTCTCAGGCTGCTCCTCGGTTTCCATGGAGACCAGCCCAAAGCTATGAGCACTCATTTGTTTGTTCACAATGTTTTCTTTTTCTCACCATCTTCAGTACTACATGTCCTTCCTTACAAGCCTGTTTTGGAGTGCACACACACACACACGTTCCCTCCAGCATGAAGCAGTGTGTTGTTAATTCCTGCCGCCTGTCACATGAGAGATAACCTCGTGCTGACCTTGACTTTAATCAGTGCACCCTCACTGTGACAGGCTGCAGTAGATATGGTGTTAGAGCTCGGTCAATTCATTGTCTGCTCCTTAGTGAACTGGCCCGTCCACCAAATAGGGCTGTGACGGTGGCCGTGACAACCGCGTGCACGTGACGTCACGCACTCTATAACAAGCATAATACGAAGTTTTGTATACAAGTGTAATAACACTAATAACAGTAGTGGAACAGTGAACCGAGTCTACACCAGACGAGACAGCGCCCGCACCAACAGGTTGAGTCTGTCTAGTGTCTACACAGGACATTTGAACTCTGTGTCAGTACCTCATAAATAGAACGAGGCAGTTTACTGTCGGGGATTTGTCATGTCGAGTCGTGCCACATCCAGTGTAGCATCACTGATTATAATGAGTTTTATAGTATTTTGTCGCGCCGCGCAGCTCGCGCCCTGTAGACAGGGTGTATTTAACTTTCTTATTTAGGCTACTTTCTTGTTTAACTATTATTTCTTTGATATTTATTTTAGTGTTTTGCAGGCTGCGTATTCACTGACTGAAGTGCTAAAATAAACACAAGCTGACGAGTTAAATCGGGTGTGTTTGGTGTTATCGCTCTCACTCTCTCATACTGGTCACTGGAAGTTCAACATGGCACCTCATGGCAAAGAACTCTCTGAGGATCTGAAAAAAAGAATTGTTGCTCTACGTAAAGATGGGTTTAGGCTATAAGAAGATTGCCAAGACCCTGAAACTGAGCTGCAGCACGGTGGCCAAGATCATACAGTGGTTTAACAGGACCGGTTCCACTCAGAACAGGCCTCGCCATGGTCGACCAAAGAAGTTGAGTGCACGTGCTCAGCGTCATATCCAGAGGTTGTGTTTGGGAAATAGAAGTATGAGTGCTGCCAGCATTGCTGCAGAGGTTGAAGGGGTGGGGGGTCAGCCTGTCAGTGCTCGGACCATACACCGCACACTGCATCAAATTGGTCTGCATGGCTGTCATTGTCCCAAAAGGAAGCCTCTTCTAAAGATGGTGCTCAAGAAAGCCCGCAAACAGTTTGCTGAAGACAAGCAGACTAAGGACATGGATTACTGGAGCCATGTCCTGTGGTCTGATGAGACCAAGATAAACTTATTTGGTTCAGATGGTGTCAAGCGTGTGTGGTGAGGAGTACAAAGACAAGTTGTGTCTTGCCTACAGTCAAGCATGGTGGTGGGAGTGTCATGGTCTGGGGCTGCATGAGTGCTGCCGGCACTGGGGAGCTACAGTTCATTGAGGGAACCATGAATGCCAACATGTACTGTGACATACTGAAGGAGAGCATGATCCCCTCCCTTCGGAGACTGGGCCGCAGGGCAGTATTCCAACATAACGACCCCAAACACACCTGAGGGTAAAGGTGATGGATTGGCCAAGCATGTCTCCAGACCTAAACCCTATTGAGTATCTGTGGGGCACCCTCAAACGGAAGGTAGAGGAGCACAAGGTCTCTAACATCCACCAGCTCCATGATGTCGTCGTGGAGGAGTGGGAGAGGACTCCAGTGGCAACCTGTGAAGCTCTGGTGAACTCCATGCCCAAGAGGGTTAAGGCAGTGCTGGAAAATAATGGTGGCCACACAAAATATTGACACTTTGGGCCCAATTTGGACATTTTCACTTAGGGGTGTACTCACTTTTTTTTTTTTTTTTTTTTTTTTTTTTTTTAGTAAAAATGTGTTTTCTTTACCAAGAAAGTAGCAAGATGAAAACCACTATTTTCTGTTTCAAACTTTCACATAGCATCTTTAGGTTATAATAACATTAAAAATTAAAATTCATTTTTTGATTTTCAAAGATTTATTCTAAAATTTTAAATGCAATAAAATCCTGTTTTTGTCTTTTTGTCTGTTGTGTAATCGACTATTGTTTTCAGTGTTGACTAGGAGGAGCTGTACGCCGATACCGATATGGCGCCCGATATATCGTGCATCCCTAATGTATATGTAGTTTTCCTTCTGCCTGTGTGTGCTGTTAGACTCTTTGTTGTCTGGTCTATAGATATTTAAATTATTTTTATCCATCTTGATTTTGATCTTGGTTTAAGAGTATATGTGAACAATGTGGCTGTCTCGCTGAAACTGCATTTCCATATTGGGCTCCTAGTTTCCTCACGGCTGTGGATCCTTCTACCATCACAATGCCAGGAAGAGTTTGGACAGCAGAGTGGCGTCTCTGACAGCCTTCTTTGTCTTCACTATCAATGAATATCTTCCACTCACCACAGTCTTGCTGACTTCTCAGCAGCTCAAAATGTGTTGAAAACAGAGGTGGAGGCTTCCTTTTAAACTGACATATTCCTTCCTTATTTAAGTAGAAATCATTTGTAAAATTATTCTTTATGAATGTGCACACATTGTATTTGAGCTGTAAATGTTGTTTTTTTTCCTGGCATGTTTTATTGAAATGGCAGTTTTGTTTTTGCTTCAGTCATTGCCATATAGTAATATTATTATTCCTATTTTTTAATTATATGTTTCTTCCTAGATATTTTGTTAATATATTTAAATGTATGAGTATAACCATTAATAATAAGGATATATAATAATGTCTTGCATAATAATATTTAATATTATTAATATTTTATCGTCTTTCTTGAAAGCATATATACTTTTCTAATATTAATATTAGTAGTAGTAGTACATAATTCATTATAGAATCTCACCCTTTACAAGTAGATATATCTAAATAATTGAACACTAATGATTTCTTTCAGGTTTTCCTGTTTTCTTTTGATTGATCCAGTCATGTTAATCCAACAAACTACCTTCATAAATGTCTTTTTAAGGACACTCCTTTGGGCCAGTACTGAAATGTATTAATCAATTTGCATATCAGTCTTTTTTTCCCCACACCTTCTTCTTTATCAAGCCTGATTTTCTGTGTATGCTTTGTTTACACAGTTTAGCAGTTTTCCATGAATAGCTGTTGTCTACTATAACGAAATTCCAGTGTACCGGTGTCTGAATACGTGCTCAGACACACATGTTCTTTTAGTTGTCAAAAGCACTTACCACAGCTCTTTTCTTAATCCACAATCATAAAGCCTGGTTATCAAGAGAACTAATTGGGCATTTCTTTGTTTTTCAGAAACCGAGCGCTAGCTGATTACCTTCGTTCCAATGGATATGAAGAGGCATATTCAGTTTTCAAAAAGGAGGCGGAATTAGACGTGGTGAGTGTGGGAACCCCCCTCCATTTAAACCCCAGTCAAACCAATATTTCTTAATTTGAAGTATTCCCCATTTAATTGGCGCCTCTGTGTGAGGTTGTGACTGACGGTGCACGTGCTGAATTAAGGCAGCGCAGAGATAATTATGATGTGTGGCAGATGTAAAACCCGATGCTCCCTGTTGTCTCAGCGATGGTTCAAACTGATAAAGGAACATCCTAAATAGTGTCTTTCCATTATCACAGCGTAGACCAGGAGAATTACTCAAATTCAGCAGAAAATATCTCGCTGTAATATGCCGTCTGGAAATGTGAGAGCTCTTGGCACACGCAGAAGCTCTTGTTTGAAAACACTCCTGGCTGGACAGAAGATAAACTGTTTATTTCCTTTGTACAGGGAAGAAAGAGCATGAATTATTGATCAGATTTGTGGACAGAGAGGTGGTCTATGGTGCTAAAAGCTCTCTTTAATTAACCAGAATGCTATTAACACAGCCTCATTTAGCAGAAGAGATTTCATCATCGATCCTTCCAGCTGTTAAGATGTTCTGTGTGGTGGCAGGGGTTTGTGACTTTAGGCATAACTGTAGATGAAAAGTGGCTCTCTGAGGGCTGGAGGGAGCTGATGGACTGTCAGACGGCAGTGATTAGAGCCTGGCATGGCTGATGGGACTGGTATTTAGTCATTGGCCAACACGCATAGCAGAGGGTCCAGGCAGATGGTGGATCAGTCCTCTGCAAAGGCTTTAAATGCCCTTCTACCTCAGAGACACATGACACGACCCCTCTCACTCCACTTCTCATCACATAGACAGCACCTGTTCTGCTGGACACCTCTGATATTACTCCAGAAGAGCCTCTCTCCTCTTATTCTCTTTGTCTGCGGCAGCCTTTTTTCATTACCCATAGATCTGGGAGCTGCGTTATGCTTTTGCATTTTTAATGGTTAGAGAACAGTCTAGTGAAAACCATGTGTACACTTCTTCGTATTGCTTTCTAGGGTTGGGTATCGACCGGTGCCAAATCGATACTTTTAAATCTGTATCGGTACCTGATCCGATACTTGGGAAAAAAAATAAATAAATAAAAAAGAGCCACAAAAAAAACCATGGATAACATTAAAGAACATTAAAAATATTTAAAGGGGTCATATGATGCTTCTAAAAAGAACAGTATTTTGTGTATTTGGTGTAATGAAATGTGTTTATGCGGTTCAAAAAACACATTATTTTCCACATACTGTACATTATTGTTTCTCCTCTATGCACCGCCTTGTCGATTTTTACAAAGCTCATCGGTCTGAAAAAGCGAGGTGTGCTGTGATTGGCCAGCTATCCAGTGCGTTGTGATTGGCCGAATACCTCAAGCATGAGACGGAAATGTTACGCCCCTTGCCATATTGTGATGATGCCCTGTCAGGCCGGAGCGATGAGACAAAAACATGAAAACCCATTATAAACGAGGCATTCGTTGCATCCAGTGGGGACATAATTATGGATTATAATGACTTGTGCTGTCTTTTTACGTGTTGCGTTGCATCGCGCCGCATAAACATAAAACCATGTCTGCATTTGTGATCGGAGAAATGACAAACAACAAGCCCTGCTCTACACTGCCCAAAAAACTCTTAAAAAAATATAAAAACTCTTTAAATATAAAAGACGTACTTACAGTCTTTGAGTTAGAACAGCCGGCATTGTAGTCTACTCTTCCAGGAAACAGTCCTCCATAAAATGTGCTGCACACATCCGAATATTTGGGTTGAAGTGATCTGGAACAGTGTTGTAAATATGACTTAACCACTGATTTCTAGTCGTGTCCATTTTTGGAAGGCCAAACAAAGTAGTTTCGCTTTCACAACGAAACACAGCGTCACACACGGCGACCTACAGTGAGCAGAGGCTGGGGGCTAGCGTGAGGAACGGTGGGAGGGTTAGGGTGAGCATAGGCGCGGGCTTGAGAACGGCGTGGCCGGCGATTTCGACAAAGGAGCGTCCGGAAGGACATGTGATGACTCCGGACTGGACTCCGCTTCGTCCACGGTTAAAAGCCGATCCGGCGATCGATTGTGCAAAGTTGTAGTATTTCCTCATCGACCAGCACGGATCAGCTCCAGGCATGACGAAGCAGATATCATCCTCTTTTGGAAAACCAAACAAAGTAGTTTCGCTTTCACAACGAAGCCCTTACGCCTTCTTTCTTTGCGTGAACATTTGGGCGGCTTTATGCAAATCTTCCCACAGAGCGACGTAGGTATGTTGGGGCGTGTTAGAACGAGCCGTTTTTAGGTAGGTGTGGCTGACTCTTAACTTTTATAAAGAATATCTCTTTGGATTTGAGTCTTTAGTCTTTGCAACTTTACAGATATTCTTTATGCACCAAGAGCTTGGAACACTCCAAAGAGAAAGGAAAAATTGAAAACGCATCATATGACCCTTTAAAATTAATATACATAGCATTCACATGCTCCTTGGATGCTCTCATTTCCTGAGTTGTGCTTCCCTTACTCTAAGGCTAATAAATGTATTTCACGATCTGGGTCATTATTTAATATAAAACAATATTTAATACAAAACCACACATAATGTTTCTACTGTATCTGTCAATCCCTCTGATATTTAGTTAGAATGAGTGAATTGGCTGTGCTGTCTGTCACTGTCTTTAATCAGTTCTGTGAATGACTGTATGGTATGCCACATGCACTGTATTATGTTTTATATTAAATTTTCAAATGAAAATAGCAACATGATCGTTTTATAAAGTATGCGTTCATTTGTGTTAAGGGCTGGATTTTCGCTGGAGGAAACAGCTGTGGTGTGATGAGGGATGAACGGAGCGAAAACTTTACAGTAGATTGGAAACAGATTGCTCCCTCGTGACCTTTTGTAAACCATTTATGACAAAGAACTGCACAGATACAGATAAACACACCTTGTGTCCTGTGTTTCTGTTTGAGTCCGCTCGAGCTGCACCCCCACGGTCTGCGGATTGAAGAGCGCACTGAAAGACGGGGAGGAGACTAAGTCTGCACAGTTTTCATATGAAATTTAATGGGGACTGACTCTGAGGCATTCACAAATTTGTGTATCCATTTCGGGGAACCAGGACAAATATTTAAATCAATCGCTCAGGCATTTAAGTGCCACCGAAATCTGCGTTCTGATTCGGTTCTAATACATACCGGTTATATGGCACCGGGTTTCGGTACCCAACCCTATTGCTTTCCGGCTGAGACTGTGAGATTGCGTATTTAACACACAAATGTCTTCTGTCAGGGATTGGAAATGCAAGGTATTAGTCTTGTTGGATTTTCATACCTCAGAATTAGACAGTCTTAATGAAGTGGAGTTGTGAATGTATGGTTTGTGTGTGTAGTATATTAATAAATATATAAATCTAACTGTGTTTTTTTTGTTTATTACTGTTATTTATTCATATAAAACAAGATATTGGACACCCCATTGGTAGTACTGTATATAATCAAATGCATTCTATATGAGATAAATCAGATATACATCAAATAAACACAATATTACAATGTACAATTGCACAAAAGGCTGCAAACGAACAGCGCGCATCTGAAGTGTCTCTGAAGGAAATAATGCATTATTTATCGGCTTTAAGATATCGGCCAAATTTTCTTATCAGGCCAATACCGATAACAGAAAAAATGAGCATTTATCAGCCGATACCGATATGGTGGCCGATATATCGTGCATCCCTATTATCTTTTGCTACTTAACATTAGAACCGCCAGAGGTCGCTGTATACCTAAAAGCGCCAGCAGGTACATTTTACCCACGCACATGACAACTGTATTTATATGGCTAAAGAACATATTATTTCATTGTATTATGCCACTGCCTTCACAAAGAAGTGTCTAGAGTCATGAAATGATTGTCTAGTCATCAACTATATTTTTATCCTGTTGTTTTATGTTCAAGACTTTTTAATGCAGGCTACACTAATCCATAACGGTCAGTAGCCTAAGCTAAAAAAAAAAAGAAAAAAGCCTGCACTGACAACTGAAATTAGAAGGTAGTAGCCTAAATATTTGCGTGGTGTAATATTATAATACAATGTAATTTAATCAATATATTAAGTTAACCCATGCTATTTAAATTACTAAAATAGCCTGTACACAATAATGAGCAATAATAATTCATCACACTGCATAGGATGATGTGATGACCTATTCAAGCGCACAGCTTCACCTATTTATTAATTTGTTTAGTTATATCATTTATAATTTGAATAAGAGAACAACACCATTAAACTTTGGGTAATCAAAAAATGGTTTTATTCATTACAGCATATAGATCAGATTTTTTTTCTTTTTCAGGAAACCGCTAGACTAGAATAGCAACACAGTAGAGAAGAATAAATGATATGGCAAGACAAAAATTAAATAATTAAACCAAAGTTTGACCAATTAGAGTAACGTTAGGCTAAAACATGTAAATATGATATCTGGATCACTGTCAGATGAGCCATCAGATGCTGAGCCGACCCAGGACACGTAACTTACCATCAGACTCTCCATCACTCATGGCATTTAGTGTTTCTAATCCTACCTACCTTCCATAAATCGCCTTTTTTAGTCATTTTGACTTTATGAAACTGATAACCGCTAAATCAGTGAGTGAAAGGTGTTGCCTATAAATGTACAATGTTAAAACATAAGCGGCAAGAAAATGACAGCATGAAAATACATGCATTATATAGGTGGGTAAATTTGACCCGCTGGTGCTTATAGGTATAAATGCCCGTTTTTTTAATCTGGTTTTATCTAAATAATTTTTAACAACATTGGATTGTAAATTACTGGGAGAATTGACTGTTTTATTTTAAATCTGTTATGTACATTTGAAAAACAGCCACGGGTAAAATTTACCCCGTGGCGGTTCTAGTGTTAATGTTTCTGATTAGAGAATGCCAATGGAATCATTTCTCTCTCATTTTGAGAAATAAATGTGACTTTCAGAAAGGTCTAGTTAGTGCCAGGCACCCTAAAGTAAATTTTTCACAGTGCGGTGTTTGTGTAATTGTAATCTTGGTAAGCTCTCTTTGTCTGCCAGAGATTAACTCATGTGAAGGGATTTACAGGGAATTTGCAGTTGCCACTGGGGTGATAGGTGTATGCCTTCTTTTTTGCTTAAGGCTGTATGTAATTCTTGTATTATTATTTTTTTTTATGTGGTGTGTTGTGTTTTGTCACCAGAATGAGGAATTGGATAAGAAGTATGCAGGTCTATTGGAAAAGAAATGGACTTCAGTCATCAGATTACAGAAAAAGGTTTGTGCATTTCATATTTAATGCAAATCCTATTAAGAACCATGGAGGCAGACTTGACTCATTGACTATTCAATCCCTGAAATGCTAAATTTTAGGGTTAAGAAATGCTGCATTCAACTACTGCAGCTTTAAATCCAAAATCCAAAAATGTCATTTTCATTCATGTGATTTGATGTGTGTAATGATGAGTCTTACCTATTATACCTTCTGCTAGGTGATGGAATTAGAATCAAAACTGAATGAGGCAAAAGAAGAGATTACTTTAGGTGGGCCAGTTGGACAGAAGCGAGACCCCAAAGAATGGATTCCCCGTCCTCCTGAGAGATACGCCCTGAGCGGCCACAGGAGTCCTGTCACCAGAGTCATTTTCCATCCTGTTTTCAGCGTCATAGTCTCTGCCTCAGAGGACGCAACAATAAAGGTGAGGTCTTCTGTATATTTTGTAGGTTATCCATCACTCTCATACCCTCCAAAACCGATCTTGCGTTTCTGATAAATTGGTGTGATCAAATCATGATTTACAGTGTGAAAATGGCTCATCAAATTTTGGCTGACCTACCTTGCTGGCTGAAATAATTATTAGGGCTGGGTAAAAAATATCGATATCTTGATATTAATCGATTCTCTTTTTTACGGAACGATATCGATTCTTAAATCCCAGGAATTTGATTAGTGTAGCCAGTTTTCAGTTAATGGACGGAACATTGAAGGGCACCTCCCATCCAATAAATCACAATAAGCATTGTGCTTTTAATATGAAACAAAGTCTCAGGTTTCAATTTATGTCTGTTGTATTGCATTATTCAAACAATAAATGCCGTTTTGGCGCGGTTTAATGTGGAGTGACCGATCGCTGTTGCGCCTCAGTTCAACAGACGCTGCAACGCGAGGTGCCCGTGAACTGATCATTAGTGTAGCCAGTTTTCAGTTAATGGACGGAACATTGAAGGGCACCTCCCATCCAATAAATCACAATAAGCATTGTGCTTTTAATATGAAACAAAGTCTCAGGTTTCAATTTATGTCTGTTGTATTGCATTATTCAAACAATAAATGCCGTTTTGGCGTGGTTTAATGTGGAGTGACCGATCGCTGCCGCGCTCTCCTCCACATTAATACAAGCTTCAGCACAAAATAAACATGACTAAACATCTGAAGGTAAGTTAAAAGAAAGAGTACAACTACAGTCTCGTGTAATTGCTCAATCAGTGTTTCAGCTGTGCAAATATGTCAGTATAAAGTCTTGTAAACAATGTCACGTAATGTCACATTTACCTCAGAAACAAACATATTTGGTGACCATAAACTCGTTAGTCAGCCAGAAAAATAAACTGTAGAGTGGAGTATTCTGTTAAATATATGCACCATATAACACATTCATTATAATTTTTACTGGTCTTATGTTTAATTTATGTTTGAATAAATCCATAAATTTTTTTATGACGGCCACCATTTAAATTTTTATATTTAAAAAAAAAAAAATGAATTGAAGTAGAAATATTATGTAATTGTAACTTTTATTATTTTAAAAACTTCATTGTGTAATTTTAACAGTTGTATGCTATAGCTTACAAATCAGTTAATTTTAACCTTCAACATTATAATAATGTAGTACCAAATGACTCATGTATATTTTACAGCATTAGTTCTTTGAGAAAATTTGGCATGTACTGTGCCTGATATATATCCAAAATAATCGATATTGAATCGAATCGAAAGCTTGTGAATGAGAATTGAATCGAATCGTGAAATTTGTGTCAAAACCCAGCCCTAATAATTATAGTGTATTGTCTTGAATGAGCTGTAAATTTGACTGCAGGCAGCCACTGTCCTCTCTTTCTGCTGTTTTGGTCATACAGGGGCTCTTGAGACACACAAAAAACACATGTCTGCACAAGCAGTGTGACATTCCCATGGTAATAAGCTCTGTTTCTGGTTGCCTGCTATTCATAACCGTGCCCAGCAACCATACACACAACCTCAGTGATGCTTCTAAAAGGACAGGCACAAATTGAGTCTAAATCGATTTATAGCCACTTATTAAGGTTTTTTTTTTTTTTGTTGGTGTTTTTACAGTCAAGAAGAAATGTTTTTATTCTTTAGATCAGCCAAACAATTCAGAGGTATAGTATATGCAAGGTACCCTCTCTTTTATGTTCTGTTTTATTTGGAATCTGTCCTACAAAGGGTTCCTCTATTTTTCTGAACGCGTGCTTTTTCGAGTGATTCATCTACTGCCTCAGTGCCGGCAGCTATGGCCACCAACCTGTCTGTGCCCCCTCCTTCTGTGCCCTAGTTTTGTACTCAGTGCTATTAAACCCTTCCCTAAAACGCCATCTTAACATGGGCATCCCTTAACTAGACAGCTAGAGCTGGTCCAGTTATATTCTTCGCCATTCTCTCCATCCACATATCCAGAGCTAATTGTCAGGAAGCCTGAAGCTGTGCAGCCAGATGCTTTTGTCTAACCTCTGCTCAGTGTAATGTAGATGTGGCAAGACGGCTGTGGCAGACCTTTTTTTTCTTTCTTTTTAAATTGAATATTTTCTTCTTTTTGTTAATCAGCAGTTTGACAGCCACTTGACAAGACAGTTCTGCTTCTGCTTAGCCTGGTTATTGAATCAGCCAAATGGTTTGCAGTTCAGTTTCATGCACAAGTATATTTTTCCAAACTGTGATATTTTATACATGCGCATGAACATATGACATGCACTCAAACATGCAGTCATATCTTTCATCGCCACAATTTGTCTGAAAAGTCAACACTCTAGTCTAAAATAAGCCCGCTTGGTTCATTAATTTTAATGTAATCTTTAGTAAATCTCAAAATGAATACCCATTTTTATGCTATAAATTATAATGTTGTGAGGCCTAAATTCACTTGGAGCATTCAAAATGAAATATTTAATATTAATTTATTTAGGCAAAATAGCATTTAATTAATTCCAGTATTGTCCTCTTATTGTTATCTGCCATGGTATGAAAATAATTATCGCCTCATTGGTATCAACCAGAATTTTGGCTTGGGTTAGCTGTGGTCCTAAAAATCTCTTTTTTTTGTTGTTGTTGTTGTTGTTAAGGTGAGCAAGTTGATGACCAGGCACATGCAGACAGATCAATGAGGGCAGATATAAGTAGTATACACTCTATATAATAGTATTGCAGTCTCTGCAACATGGGTAAAGCTTACATGCTTTACTAACCCAGGTGTGTCACATCAGGCTTTTCATGTGCATGTTTTCTGTCAGAACTTGGCTGGTTGGGTTCAGTCTCCCTCTTTGGAAGGAGGAGATAGATAAGCAGGTGGAAGGGCTTCTGTCACTGGCCCCCTGTGCAGCAGACAGAGCTTATCTCTGTGTGTCTGCCGCCTAGAAACTGCTGAAACCTGATCTTCACATTAAGCCCTGAGGCTGTTTATCATACTGCTGCATCCAGGCGAACAAGCAGATAACATTCGCCTCACTTCACAAAAATGCTTTAATGATAAAGAAAATGATGAAAACTGAATTTCAGGGAAAACATGATTTCAAAATATTCAGCCACAGTTTTCGCTTGGAGTGCAGTAGATACTGTAAAGTTAATATGGGAAGAAATTCTGACAATTCTTTCTTGAGGCAGATAAAGTCTGAATGAAATGTTCAGATTGTATCCAGAGGGCAATCTGGCATGTTTGATGGTTTTTAAAAGCTGGCTGCATGACAAATGTTTCGCTGAATATATAATAGCAGCTACAAGCCCAGACCTGTCTTTTATGCTTTACCTTATCATCATAACAAGCTGCCAAACAAGTTAATGACTTTTTTGTTTGTTGAAGAGATGTTCATCTTGGGCTAAAGCATGTGTTTTGTGTCTGATCCAGGTATGGGACTATGAAACGGGCGACTTTGAGCGGACCCTCAAGGGCCACACAGACTCGGTGCAGGACATTTCCTTTGACCAAACTGGAAAGCTGCTAGCCTCCTGTTCAGCGGACATGACCATTAAGCTCTGGGACTTCCAGGGCTTCGAGTGTATCAGGACCATGCATGGTGAGCGTGGTGTCATATGTTGTCATTGGTTCTGGGAACTGTTAGGAGCGGAGGAAATGCATTTTTTGTTCATGTTTGGGTGTACCTGGGTCAATAAAATAATGCTCTTTTTAGTCCAAGTCTAATAATTTATTTAAAAATGCAGTTCATGTGTGCATTACACCTCTTCTACATTGAGCATGTTTTTAACTTCTAAATAAAATTAATTTATATTTTAATTGGGGGGGGGGGGGGGGGGTTGCGGGGGGGGGGGGGGATATAGAGTGTCAGGAGGCAGGTGTTGAATGCAACTCATTAATGTGCCAGCTTGCCAACAAATCCATAAAAGAGATTCTTCCTGTATTAGAAGCCGTCCTTTAACACATTTTCTCAAATATTACTGTGCTGTTTATGAAAGTTTTATTTTTTTATAATCATTATAATATTTAAGAACTATAGATGCATTATAATTCATGGACCCTTTTCACAGACTTTGATATGTTTTAAACAGTCATCAGCATTGTAAATCCTGAAAAGTTTTTTTTTTATTTAAATTACAAATATTTAAAACAAATATATTGTAGATTTATGATACTGTACTTTGTATTGTATTACCTTTGCATCAGATTATTAAAAAAATGTGAGGCATTATCTAATACAGCAGCTATGGGAGTGACAGTAAATTTGACATTGTTCTCTCTTCTGACTGCTGTTATCAGTCTCTCTCTATTTTTTCCTCTTTTTGAAAGTTGTGAAAATAGTATTGTGGTGTTTTTCTTTTGCGATTTTAACCAAATGAGAATGCAAAAAATATATTTGAGTTAGTCTCCCATTCACTTTGATATAAGTTTAACCAACTATGATGATTTCCACTTCTGAGAAACCCAGAAATGTGAATAAGAGGAGAAAGGCTCCATTATATAATTTATACAAATATATTTAATATACTGTAATACTATATTACATTTTCTTAAAATTTAAGATATATTTTTTTAGAGCATTTGAACTTTCCCCCCCCCCCCCCCCCCCCCCCCGCTTGGGAGAACACTGTTTCTTTTTTTCT